CTTAATTGTTCTTATTTTCAGACATACTCAGACACACACACACACAGGTAAGAGCAAAGCTTGTGGTCTGAGGGAACGGCAAAGCCATTTATCCAATGACTCTCCTAAATTTCGAGAGGCATCTGGCTACAGGAGGCGCCTGAGGGCGTTTGCTGGAGGACCTGGGAGCACGTGTTCCACTCTCAAGCCCCGAAGATCCATTGTTTATGTTTCGCTACGGTGCCAGTCATTCTTTAAACGTGTGTGAGGTCTGGCTTAGCAATTTATAAATTAATTATGACATCGTAATGTACATCTGTCAAACAGCTCTCCCTACTAGAGACAACATAAATCTGTGAGTCTGTGTAAAGTCTGAGTAGTTGTAGGTCCCATAAAAATATTAAACAATTCTGTCCATCTGCAGAATACTATTTCACAGAGTTGATATACAGTAACCACACTTTTCTAAACTTAATGACTAAAAATAAGTCTAAACTGACTGACTAGTAAATTGGTGTCATGTGGGGTCTGGCCAGTACCTCTTTTGTACAGAAACACAGGACTTCCTCTATCAAAAGGTATTTTTCACGTTAACAAGCTTAAAATTCACATTAACATACACATTTTGTTTGCGTCAACATGTCAGTTTTCAGCTTGTTAATGTGAAAAAGGCAATACGTTTTGCCCCTTTGGGCATACTGTAAAATGCCGTCTAACGGAATAACGTTTTGGGGTTGGGAGGGGTCTGGGTGCTGACAGAGGAGACACGTTCTCGGGCCCCTCCTGCAGCTGGGGACTTGTATAAATTTCATAATTAACTTCTCCCGTAACAAATTTCACTTAGTTCCCCACAATACATTTCACCGACCAGCTATCAGACTGTTACAGATAAAATGAGGAGGCTAGTCTCCAAAAAGCAACATAAAATTTTTATATGGAATATAGAGAAAATCATCTCACCCCCTACAGTCTTAGAATCACTGACCTCTACAAGGTTTCTGGAAAGTTTGCAAAAAGATTCACGGAATAAGTTTAGGTGGGAGATGGAGCTGCAGGCCTTATTTTTACTCTTGGCTTCCCTCTGTCTTGCAGTTCCAATGTTGGGTCTGGTCAGGAGTAGATGTATATTTTCAGGGGTACATTTTCATCCATATAATGTTTTGGTAATAGGATCCATCAAAGATAAAATATGGTAAATGCATGGAAATAGACTCATCCTATTGACAAAGATAAGCCTCTAATGATCTCATCCTTCACTTTGCTGTCACTAAGAGCTTCAGTTTAGTGCGATTTGTCTCAAATTCTGATCAGGTCCAGATCTTCAAGAAAGTGATGCATTAAATCTAGTTTGTTATTTAATTTCCCCTTCAGTGTAACTTGCCAATGACTGCTAATCCCTCTGTCTGGAAAATGGAGAATCTAATGCCAATTACCTATTGATCAGGCCATTCAAGTTGACTGGCTAACTGGGACGAGTCTGAAACTGGGATTGGTCAAGAAAACCCTGCATGCATCATCGCCCCAGAGAATTTTTAGACAGGCAGCGGTCTACGTACCTCTGCTAAAAGATAAATATGCAAAGTAAGGTAGTCTTTTCTTCTAATCAGATATTTTGCTAGCCAGTGGGCTAGTCTTCAGGTATTTGTACTTGCCCTTTGTCTATTTCACTCACCTCAGATGAGCGGGCAGTTTAATTTCCAGCCCTGACAGCAGTTCCTCGAAATTTGACACCCATTCTTACTGGAAAATGCCTTGCTGCTCTGGTCACTTTCTAATGCTAACGGTCACACAACACCAGCAGGTACAAGAGATGGACGGGAGCACCGCTGGGCTTAGTGGACAGGGGAACACTGCACCAACGGTACAGTATGGCACTGCTTTGTTTAGATAAAGTAAAATAACTTCAGTATATCCATAAATATTGTTCTGCATCTCCATCAGTCTTATTGTAATATTAGATGAAGACAGGAATAACCAGGATTTCAATCTTGCTCCCTGCTTCACTGCCACAAGTTACTTTCTGACTCTAACATTCACATAACACCAGCAGGTGCAAGTGACAGAGAAGGTCACCGCTGGGCCTAATGAACACGTGGACACCACAAAGACTGCTGAAACACATGAGACGGACAGGGCCGACAATGGGCTTGATGAACAGGGGAACACTGTTAATCAAATTGTGACACACTGTTTCATTCATGGCAGAAATTCCCCAACTTTGTCTAAACTTCTTAAAGCTCTTTCTCTGGGCAAGTAAACATTATGGCATAATTGAATAGGTTTTGTTTGTTGATCTGTAGAATCACCATCTGTGTCTGTGAAACCTTATGAAGATGTGATTGTAAAAGCATACTTTTTACACCAAACTATTTTGCATAGTGGAAAAGTACATTTAAATATGAATTCACTTTTCACATTTAAAATTTGTTATGGAAGCGTTTCAGTTCCCTGTATTTACATGAAGTCGTTCCGGCGTTCCCAAGGTCACACATCTGGCGTGACACTCGCGCTTTTAGACTCTCACGCTCACGCAAGAGATCTTACAGCAAATCTGTATTATTCCATCCTAAACCTAAAATTAGCTGCAACAAAAGCAGTGGGGTAGTTTGCAAACCCTACAGACTATTTACAAGGCAATAAAACTGCTACACATTTGTGAATGTGTGTGCAGACTGGTCTCCAATTGAAAATCTTGCACCAGTAACCTGACCAAAGTCAGCAACCCTGTTTATCACATTGTCCAAAATGCCTGTGGACTTTCAAATGATGGGTATTGATCCTAACAATTTTCACAGTTCACAAAAAGAAAATCATTCAATAACTGAGCTCTAAGGAGATGGTTATTGGTGAATAACTGTAATTAAGCAATGATGTTTTCTCTTGGTTGTTTTCCCATTAATATCTAAGGATTATGTTAATCCTCATGTAAACTTTCCTGACAATGATAGCCTGCGTTGGAGGACTAAAATGAATGGAGGCAATTAAGATAAAAAGTAGTTTAAATTCAGCTTTTGTTTTTACAATATTATGAAAGTATTCTATGTTGCAAGGTGTCTGAATGCAGGACCTCTGGAAACACCCCAGATGTCTACAGCAATTATGATTTAGAGTCCAGTATCGCACGCTTGTCTAAAGAAATTGGTCTTTGATCATTTTTATTGTACGGTGCTGGTAGGAGAATTTGACTAAATAATAGTCAAAAGGAATGTAAATATATATAAATTCATCAAAACATTCACTGGACATTTGTTTCCAATAGCTAAAGCTCTAAAGCAAGTTTTTCACTATATTGTAGCTTTAAGAAACAACGAACATTACATAAAATTTGATAGGTTCATCCAACTTCCTGTGTGATTATTTTCACCCTGTATGATCATTATATAGTTCATACAAATGAGTTAATCCATGGCAGGTTTGATTATTTATGCCTGTCCATAGCAACTGAAACCAACAACTTAAAATGTAAGACAGCACTGAACAGGTAATATGCTAAAATGCATAAAGCTTGTTTGTTATCTTAGCACTGTGGCTCAACCGAAGTGTGATTTACTCTCCAAAAAATCTACTATGGAACAGTTTAAATGCTTTGATTAGTTATTTAGCTGTTTATGTGAATGTGTAATATCCTCCTGATACCCAAGGAAAAAAGTGTCCTTCAATTTTAGGTTATTTGTCTTTGGAGGAAATGAGACACAATTTAGATTTTCTCAAATTTATTTTTATTTTTAATTTCACAGCATGTCCTCTTTAGTGCACAACAGGAATAAATATGTTACCTTACATCAGTGAAAATATAGATGCAAAAATAAAATGTCCACTACAATGGACATAAATGAATGGGTGGGGTCTCAGGAGGATATAACTGAATAATAAAAAAATGTAAAAATAATAAAAACAAACATTAGCTGCATTTCCTGACACATGTTCACGTGCTGCAGCTTGTTCAACTCTGTCTCCGATAAAAATCAGTGCAGTGTTTGGACTGAAAGCAATTTAGCTGGGAGAATCTATTCATGTTCAGATCCTCCTCAAGCAAATCGTAAAACGGCCATTGAGCTACGTATATAATCAAAAATAACAATATATCACTTATAAAATGTCTATTTCTATCCATGACAAGTGACTGTCCCTGCAAACGGGAGGCCTGCAGTTTGCATAGGAATTACAGTTAATGGGCCACTTTCCTATCATGGTGCCTGTACCTTAATCGCGGCCTAACTGGCTCATTTTCCATCTGGTGTCAATGCTACAGCTCTGACAGAGGGGCTGTACTGCTAACCTTGCTCATCGACCCAGTGCTTGTCCAGTGGTCACTGACCTGGGACCAGCCATTGGGGACTCATTTGTCAGAGATTCGCATATCCAAGCCTTCGCTGTGAGCGGACGGGAGAAATGGATCTGACCTACCCTGAAAGTGCAATGAGCCCAGGTGTGGTTTATATTCTGTGAGGGCATCACAACTATAGGCAGCAGGCAAGAGGTTTCTCTAGATGAGAATCTAGGCCCTCATCTTTAGCCTAAGCTCCTATGAAGCTCTCATCTATAATGCATTACAGGTACTTTCATAGTGCACTATAATGGTCTGTATAAGAATTAATAAAGCATTACAGCATCTTCTATTGACTGTGATAAGGCACTATAGTGATTATAATACTTCATAAGCTCCAATAAAGCTCTCATCTATAATGCACTATAGATACCTTCATAATGCATTATAATGGTCTGTATAAGAATTAAGGATGCTTTGTATTGCATTAAGGTATTGTATAAGGTATAGTGCATTATAGATGAGAGCTTCATAAGGAAGACATAATGCATAATAACCATGGCTATAATGTGTTATGCCTTTTTAGAATTATTTATAGCCATGTTTGTAATGCTTTATGAATGCATTATAATGTGTTATGAATGCATTTATTAAGTTCTTATAGACATGGAATTCGTGGAAGGTGTTACCAGGATCTGCTTAGTGATTTATTTGCATTCCCAGCATCACTGGTTAGGGACCCAACTGAACCTACCTGTTGTAGAGAAGGATGTCAGGAACCCAGACCTGACTGGATGGGAAGCGAAGGTTCTGAACCCCTGGGTAGTCGTCCGGGTTCCAGGTGAGGTAGACGTCAGTCCAGCTCTGCTCAGCGGAAAAGGAAAGCAGAGCTGGGCTAATTATGACAGCCACGTCCATCTAGTGGACGATTCAGTTTGCAATTACATAAAGAAAAAGAAGAAATCTTGTGTATATTTGGACATATTAACAAATGATCTCCAGAGAGACATGCAATGTCCAAGTTAAATGGATTCAAAATTGCCATATTGTTATAAATGTTACTATATTTTAATATTTATATAGACAATCTGTTTCTTATGAAGTAGCATTAGCAGGTCACATGTCCGGCAGAATGATATTAACTTTGGGCCCTTAATCCCAATTGCGCCGAAGACTGTCTGGCCCCTGCTTCCTCAAATGTGCGTCACTTTGGATAAAAGTGTCTGTTCAATGAATAAATATAAATGCAGCAGAGAATATCTTTAACAAGTTTTGCGTAATAAAGCATATTAAGCGACAAAAACGATCTTTTGTTCATTTTTGGATCTCTTTTGGTTTTAAATTGCACAGTCTGGTAGAAGTTCCCCAAATGTTTGCCCTTGATAAGTTTCCCAAGTCGGTTCGTGTGCCCTTTCGGAGACGGACGCCGGTCTGGCTGGCCGATACGAGCCGCTTAATAAAGCTCCTGGTACCAAAGCTGAGCTCCCACTCTATCAGCATGTGCCACCAGCCGGTTAGCCACGCTTATCATGTGGATACTGAAGGCTTCTCGGGCTTCCCCCTGTGTGCATACATAATGTGACCTTGCTGTGTGTCCACGGCCTTCCCGTGCAAAGCCATCTCCGCACCTCCTGCTGCTCCGCACAGTTTGTGCATGGTTCCTTTGCAATGTTTATGTTCATAAATTCTTTTGACTCATTTTCTCCCTTTCTTTCATTTGAATGAACAATAATAATAATAATAATAATAATAATAATAGTTTTTTTTTATATGTGCCTTTCTCACACTCATGGACGCTTTACAGTACATTCAAAAATCATGCTGGTGATGATTAACAAAATGAACTTTAACATTAAAATTCACTGGTTCAGATCAAGGCAAGATCTATTCCTTCAGGTACCGACCACCATATGGTTGGATTTGAGAAGCAGGCTAATGGCGGTAAATAAACCAACAGTAGTATAAATCTTTAATGTTAGCGCCCTGTGAAGACATTAATATCGTGGAGGTCCCCCACAATACACCTTCCTCCCCC